ACGCCTCTTTATAAGGAACAAAACAGGTGGACTTCTCCACAAATCTGGCTGTCGCCTGATGAAGCTAGTTGTAATTACTGGCGAAACGTCGTACTCAGATTGCAAATGTGGTGGCTTGGCTCTCCAACACACCGGTGTGCTGTACTAGTGACGAATTGGCATGTTCTGTTTACGTGACAACGCTTACTAGTTGTCTGTGTCGGGTGGTGGCGGGTTTAACGACACATTTATATATTTACACGATCTAACCGAAAAAACCCTCTCTATTATGGATGTTTGATGCACTGATTGAGGGCAACCACCACAACTTATTCATGCACGCCTGGAAGACTGTGTGGCTGATGGTATGTGTAAGAAAAAAATATATATTATATTTGGAGGGATAGATATGTAAAGGTGGCATTGTCTGATTGTTGATGTTGTGTTACGAGCTAGATGTAGATTCTAGCACGGTGCACTTGTGTGAAATAATCCTCGTGAAGCGCCTTGTTTTGCGAGAACTGGGGTATGCCTATGCAATGGAATGTACATGGCCCTTGTCGAGTTGAGATCACTCGCGTTCCTGAATTATTCAGGGGATGAGTTTTTTTTATCTTGACTGGGATATTGTTTGAGGCCTGCTTTGTGCTCTTTGGCCAAGAACTACGGAGTATATGAGTACATTACATTTCGATTTAAAGCTTTCGTGACTGCAGGGATTGATCTTCTTGGTTCTTTCGGTAAAGTCACGTAGAATGGAAATAATAAAATAATAAAATAAAACATAATAAGATCATTCTCACCACGTTTCGGCCACAACGTAAGCAGCCGTCCTTGCTTGCGTTGTGGCCGAAACGTCGTGAGAATTATCTTATTATGTTTTGTTTTATTATTTTATTATTTCCATTCTACGTGACTTTACCGAAAGAACCAAGAAGATGAGTACATTACACTTTAGATTAAAAACCCATTGATTTAGAAGTTGCTGTTTGTGTTTATTCATAATCAACGATTTTTGGGTTTAGATCGCGTTTATTTATAAATGTGTCGTAACCCTCCACCACCCGACACGGCCAATCAGTAAAAATGTGTCACGTTGACAAAGACAAATAGTTCACTGCTTTAGCCCACCGGTGTGTTGAAGCAACAACATTTACAATTTGAGTACGACGTTTCGCTGGTAATTGCAATCAGCATCATCGGGCAATTCGCCAGAATGGTGAGGCTCTCCTGTGTCTCCCGTTCTTATATAGAGCAGCAGCAGGGTGACGTCATCATTAACTCATTAACTCATCAGGTGCAAAGATTCAAGGGGGGAGTGATTGTAATTATATACTAGATTAGTAATCAGGCTATTGTTACGATGCGAGTTGTAGATTAGTAATCATTTGGAATGTGTTTTATTGTGATTATGCTACATTAGTAATCAGTTAGTGGTTGTTTCCCTTATAAGTAATTGTAATGTATCTTATTTAATAATACGCTTCCAGGCCGCACTAAGCCTATAGCTGTCTGAGCGATTAAAGTTATTTCTGTTTCTCTCAATTTCAATCGATTCTCTAATTAGTCTTTGCCAGCGTATTATTAAATAAGATACATTACAATTACTTATAAGGGAAACAACCACTAACTGATTACTAATGTAGCATAATCACAATAAAACACATTCCAAATGATTACTAATCTACAACTCGCATCGTAACAATAGCCTGATTACTAATCTAGTATATAATTACAATCACTCCCCCCTTGAATCTTTGCACCTGATGAGTTAATGAGTTAATGATGACGTCACCCTGCTGCTGCTCTATATAAGAACGGGAGACACAGGAGAGCCTCACCATTCTGGCGAATTGCCCGATGATGCTGATTGCAATTACCAGCGAAACGTCGTACTCAAATTGTAAATGTTGTTGCTTCAACACACCGGTGGGCTAAAGCAGTGAACTATTTGTCTTTGTCAACGTGACACATTTTTACTGATTGGCCGTGTCGGGTGGTGGAGGGTTACGACACATTTATAAATAAACGCGATCTAAACCCAAAAATCGTTGATTATGAATAACATTGGTCGCGAAAGCCTACGTGTTAAACTGTTTGTGTTTAGTTTGTTGTCCTTCCCCCCGCACCTCCAATTCGCACGGTGGGCAACTTACAGTGCGAAAGAAGTTCAACATAGAGTAAATACACCTTCCATGACCTGCCACAGTTCCTCCTGATCTTTAATTATGCTACAATCTCAGGTCCAAGAGTCAATGGTCAACTAATACATGAGAGAAAAAGCTAAATGCATTGGGAGTTGTGCTTATAATGTTGTAAATTGTGAATTCTCAGTGATAAGGTGTTCTCCGGCATTGTTTTCAAAGCATAAACAAACGCATCCTGCATGGAGCCATGATGTTGCCGAATGTCCAAAAGTTGATAATCTTTAATAATATAATCGCTTCCCAAAATATATTTGAGTTCGAATGATGATCATGAGCACATCGTGATGCACATCGTGTCTTCATGTTTGAGTCGCTGAATTGGCCGAGGAGTTTCCTGCACCAATACATCTCTGTGGAACTCCCAAGCAGCATGGGTCCTTGTGGAGTTTAATCCTAGAGTGTTCCCATTGCGAGTCTCCTGCTGTGTCGGTACGCACTTCCATGACTGACGTCTCATATTTTACCTCCGCCAAAAAGAAAATCCCACACGTGTTTGTCCGAGGTGGGCTTTTGAGACGAAGCCTGTGACTGTGCTTGAAATGCTAAACGTCGTAACCCCTGCTCCTGCGTGTTGGCATTGTGAAGAATGATACCATGCAAGGCAAGGGCATTTCATCTATCTCTTGTGTCGGTGAGTCGCTGCGTGACAAGGCTAATGCCCCAACGATGGATGCATATGATGGCCTGATTTCTTTTGGACGCGAATCGTTCAAAGTCAAAAGTGTATCCGCTGCTCAGTCGAGAATGAGGCGGTTTACATTTGCGAACCTGATCCTGTGGTGGAAATTCCACATTCCTACGACCAAAAGCCAGTTGCTCCACATCACAACTATTGACTTAAAATGAACCTTTTTAGCTTAGTCAACTTACCATTTAACCAGGACTGTGTACAAACATGACATAAAAAGGCGTCCCTGGATTGCAATGCAACATGAATCGTTGGTGCAGGGTCTATCCCTAATTTGTCCTGAGTGTATACACCATACACACTTTGAGTGATATTTACTTTCTAGCCGTCATTTTCTGTCATTATGGGTGTGTTGTCTCCGCGCCGCTAAGCTGTTGATTAAATGCCAGGTCATTTTGAATGGTTGTAGTTCAGCACACTGCACGTCTGGATTCTGGTCTTTGACCCACGCCAGCAAACTTTGTTATACTGCGTGCAATGAAGTGTAAATATTGGCTCTCGTGTTAAAGGAAGGAAACATGAAGTATATACCTCGGGGCAGTAAATATCTTTCCTCTCACAGGAATGCACTGAATGCAGCACAAAGGAAGTTGGTGTTTTGTGTTCGTCCACCGTCCGCGTGTTTGGAGTGCTTGTGGTGCATTCTAATCTGAGTTAACTGTATTTAGTACATTGAAGCGCACACTCATCTAAAAGCAATTGGCTTGCGTTCGCGAAAGACTCACGCCGATGTAACACGGTTGGCTACTTTACGGTGCAAAAGAAGTTCAACGTACGAATATTGAGAAAAAAGACACTGCCAAGCTATACTCTTTGGTTCTTTCGGTAAAGTCACGTAGGTATCAAATAAAAGATATCGCAACGCAGGCAATCATCGTCAGGTGGGAAAACCACAGCAAGAATTGTTTTTTTTTGCTGAAGTGGGAGAGAGATGGCCAAGCTACCTTATGGCATGAACGTCTACATGTGAGGTGGCCATCAGTGAGGCCAGTCATGGAACGTTTTCTAGATTCTTATTTTTTTATTTACACCTTCGTGTGCTTCGTGTGCAACACATTTTATTATAATATATATATATACATTTTGCTATATGTACGATTCGTAATACAGTGCTGTATTTTGATTTGCTACATTTTCCACGAAGCCCGTTGAGCCACCCTGTTATGCATGTTGCCATGTGCTGTTAGTAGTACCCGGATGTCTCATGCACTCACCTGGCTGAGGTTGTCAAAGGCGTCGAATTGTGATCGTAGATTACAGACAGGGGTGGTCATCGGTGGCTATGAGCCGTTCTTGTGTGTTTTTTTAAACATGATGTTCACCAAGGTGTGACACCACATTTTGTTGGTAAACATTCTCACGTGTTTGTAAACAGCAGTTATTTTCAAGGGTCAACTAAATTGCTGTTACAGTATTGGATTGTGCCCAGACACACACAAATTTCCCCCGTATAGCCTTAACAGACTGTAGGGGCAAGTGCTGTTAGCGAGCACCTATGAAAGCCGGAACGGTACACGAGGGGGTGGGTGGCCAGCACCACACCCGACCGCCTTTGTCTCCTCAGTGGCGATGTTTACATACCACGCATCAGGTACTAATTTGAGGCTGAGTCGACCTAGGGGAGGCCCAGGACCAGTTCAGATAATCGTCACTGGTGTTGGCCGTGAGCGGGAATGGAACCCGGGTCGCCGGGTTCATAGCGCAGCGCGCTAACCGCTGCACTACTGCTCCCCACACATACACACTTGCGCATAAATATGCTGCACACACGCTACTGCAGTAGTTCATTGTGAGTGTACAAATGACCTTGTGTTTATCGGTCACTTTATCTTCCCCTACACTTAAATACGGTAGTCATCTTGTTGAACGTAAATCAGGTGACGCTGGAATGGCGAACCACATTTTATAAAGTGTATTTTTAAAGTGTGTATGTAAAAAAAAATCTAACGTAATTGGACTGCCTGGGGTCTGTTGTTGTTGTTTTTTTTCTTCCATTGATCGCAGCTCATTGATTCATAGGTGACTGATGCGGCTGAAGTCGGATGTGCCAGAGATGTGCGCGCGTTGCGTGGTTTTTTTTGTTACCTGACTCTTAATCGGACTCCTCCTCTCCTCTGCCTCTCCAGACTCGCCCTACGACACCAAGGTGTTCGAGAACTGCGAAGATGAAGCACGCTTCGACGCGGTTCGTAACCACAACGTCCGGCGGTCTGTGTCGGCGTCCACTCCTCATTTAAAATTTGAGTTGTTTGAACCTCACTTTTTTTTTACTTCGTTTAACGGACACTTTTATCTTCTTGGTTCTTTCGGTAAAGTCACGTAGAATGGAAATAATAAAATAATAATCCTCAGGTGAAGAACAGGTCTGTCGAGAAGACAGTCTCTGCTTTGTGGCCGAAACGTCGTGAGAATAATTTTATTATGTTATATTTATTTTATTTTATTATTTCCATTCTACGTGACTTTACCGAAAGAACCAAGAAGATGAATCCCTGCAGTCACGAAAGCTTTAAATCGAAATAGGACACTTTTAAAGCGAGCAAAATTAGCGGTCGGTTAATGAAGCCAGCAACGTCGGTGCGTGTACAAACACGTACCTTGTTTCCTCACTACATGTTTACAACACTGCCCCGGGCATTCATTCATTTGCCGCTACGTTTTCGTAGCAGAGGTGCAAGTCAGGTGCATATACCAATCATTGATAATGTCCATTGTATCAAAAAATGCATACCAATACCCACCAATCACCAGAAAGTGATGGTGACGTCACCACGGCGTCTGTGCCAGGCCAGGTGCACTTTGAGGCCACGTGAAGTGTCGAAGGCTCGCTGACAGGAGGTCACAGACAACACCCATGTGCCATGGGTTGGCTGACTGAGATCACTGGCATATGCACACCAGTGGTACGCGCTCCTGTGCCAACTTGCTGGATTTTAGCCGCCCCACGCTCTCCGCTCGTTGTTGTGAGCGTCACTCCTCTGCCCTCAGTTGTTGTTGGAGGGCGACTGCCTCCAACTGCCCAGTAGCAGCAGCAGCGTCCTTCACGAGCCTCATCCATAGTCCGATCGTGACACCGCAGGAACCAGTCTTCGGCAAGTCCACTTAGCTCCACATCCTCCCGTACCGCATCAGTCCAACTCTTCTCCAGCCCGTGTCAAATGCATATCATTGCATACACACATATTTTAGACTAGTATGCGAATGTAATACACGTGTCATTTAAATGATCACACAATCTACCTCTGGCCTCTCTCTACGTGCTGTGAATGATGATCGTTGCTCGAGAAAGTAATCTTTATATGCTTTTTATCATTTATCAGGAAGTGCTATTTTGATTAATGTGTTGACAGTTCACGAGAGACTTTCCATTGGTTATTGTTCACACGAATACAACAAATATTGCAATTGATGCAGGAATTCACGAATACAAGTCTCTCTTTAAACGTGTTTTATTGGAATACGGCGTCTTGAAAATGTCAAATAAATGTAGACCGTTTAAGATTCGCAGTTGCTCAAATTATATTTGCCTTTCACCTTGATAAGTCTTCTGGCTATATGCTGCAATTGATAGTAAAACTCCTTGTGGTAGCTGCTTAATTGCACACGTTAAGACTGGCACATTGGCAAAAGTTAAGTCATGTTTTGAGTTTCCTTCAATGCTACAATACCTTACCCAACCATTTGCATATTTGCTTCCTCACAGGTAACACAACACGTATTGCGCAAACACATTCATTGTTACCGAACGCCTGAGATACACATACAGTATATCCAGCTGTTATGGGACGCCCATACATTTCTTTAGTATATCAAGCAATGTATGTATTTTATACTGGTAGGAACCCACTGGTTTCACCAGCCCACAGGGGATTATTGTGGCCGTCCATCGTGCAGGGAGGGGCTGGGTGGGAAGGGAGGGGCTGGGAGGGGAGGGGCTGGGTGGGTGGGGAGGGTGGGGCTGGGTGGGGAGGGGAGGGTGGGGAGGGGCTGGGTGGGGCTGGGTGGGGCTGGGTGGGAGGGGTGGGGCTGGGTGGGGAGGGGAGGGGCTGGTCACCCCGTGGTGCCCTTATAAAACGCAACGTTTAACCTACTCACGCCGGCTTGTGCCCGCCCTCACAGTCGGGCATATTTGCGGAATACACCACGCCGCCGTTGACCCTGGCCATTGACCGAGCAACCCAACGTTCCTACCAGCTCCCTCCGCAGGAATGTGTTACAAGTACTTGAACCGATGTATACAAAGTAAAAGCTGCAGTCCTGCAATTTCTTGGCCACGCCACTGCCGGCAGAAGGGCTTTCGCTTGTGGGAACTGCATAGAGCCCCGCGAAGGGGTATATTTTGGCCTACTCTTCCACGCTGGTAAGACCTCATTTGAAAGAAGTGAGAGTAGCCAAACTTTACCCCATCTTTGCGAGTCTTAACTTCAAAGAATTCGTGTACAGTGCAATGTTTTAGATGGCTGCACAGTTAAACTTGTGGTAAGGAGTGTAAAAAAAACAATGCGTTTAACAGAGATATATTTGCAACTGGAACGCTCCGTGAATTGTTTAAACCAGTTCTACATATAGTCACATTTTTATTGGCGACAAGTCTCGACTGGTTTTACATGCCTCATAGCAGGCAGCCGCTCCCAATGACATCCCATTTCGATTTCGCAACTCGTGGTGATATGAACACACACACACACGTATAACTGTACTATATTCAGACACGCAAGGGTGGAGTCACCATTTCACAAGTGTCTGTGGGGGGACGGGGGTGCTAAAAGGCTCAACGTTGTGGGTTGAGGGAGGCACGAGATGGGTGGCTTCAAAGCTTATCTGATGCTTGCGTGCCTGTCCCAATGACGATAATAATGCAAATGTTTCACGCGGCATTCCATCCGAAGATCCCGATGCGCAATGCATTAAAAATCAGGAAACAGAAGCAAAACCAGGGGCAACCGACCAAACTAAAGAGGGAAGGGCACTTTAAAGAGATGGGTTTTCAAAGCAGACTCGAATACATCTGTAAGGGGTGTCAGGGGAAGGATTCCCACCAATAGGAGGGTTAGTGGGAGGGGTGATCGAGGAGATATAGGGGAGAACGGGCGGGAAGAGGTGGCCTTTGGCGGGAACGAGATTGGGACGGCTGGGGACAGGTGTGGATGGGAGAAAAGGATTAAAAGACGAAACCCCTGCAATCTTGTGTCGGCTCTCCTTTACACATCTACCGATTTAGAAAAAGAGAATTGTCTCATCCGTCTGTGTGGAGTAGCAGTCGTTGAGGGTCACGGGTGCCTGTCAAGTCGATCACAATTGGATTTAGATGGTCACCAAAGAATAGGGGGGGCCACAGTGCCCTGTTTCAGGACCGCTGTTGCGTCTTGTCTCATCGGCAATTGCCCCGGGTTTCGATCGGGGATGCGTTCCTCGAACGTACGACGACGAACGTCAATCAAAGGGACTTTGCGGCGTAGATGTTGGCGAAGGCTGAGAGGTGACGGATAACGAGGAAGGGCGGACGATGCCGTCAGCGGCGTGTGTGGGTCGAGGCGGCGCAAATCCGACAAGTGGTGTTCACAAAGTGGCGACGTGTTTGCGAAACGAAGTAAATCGGAGTATTCCTGTCCTTCTCTATTTGAGGAGGAGCTGCACGCCGCGCACCTTTTGTGCAGCGTGTGTAACGCAAGCGTTCGAGTCTGACTCTGATCATATTCTACTTATTGTTAACCACGTGGCCTACACACACACACACAAAAATCCTGTTTTAACACCCGAGTAATCTACAGAGCTTTACCTTTCGAATGAAATGTTGGTTTTATAAATCCCAGAAAAGAGGGCATGTGGTTTAATCGCGCGAGCGTACATTTCACGGTTAGACTCGGCGAGAGAGCCGTAGTCTTATTATTCCGCCCCTGAGTCTGCACCCCTCATGGGGCTGCCCATGCATTCACCGACAAGGCAAAGTGGTTTCCTGCTCAAATGTTCATTGAGGCGGCGGAGAACAGCCCTGAGCCAGTGGTGGAAATTCCACATTCCTATGGTGTGGGTGTGGGAAGGCATGGGCGGGGTGGCAAGTCCATCCATAGGACAACCACTTAACTCTCCCGCAAAGTGGTGCTTGTTATATTCTGATTGAAAGCTTTCGTGACCTAAAGGAATTCATAACCCTGGAGGGCTGTTGGGCCGAGTCAACCCCCGAACGAGGATTTGAGCTCGCAACATTTCGATTGGGAGCCGCTCACTCTACCGCAGAGCCACCCGGCTAGATACGCATCAAGGACGTATCGTAAATACTGATTTGTGAACCCTACGGAATTTCTCGGTCGGCTGCCGACTTTTAAACTCTATTCTCAGCGCAGGCCGATTTCCGCAGCCAAATATCCTGCTTCGTCACAACTCCGCCATGTGTATCTTTTTCTGTTTTGAAAATTAGCGTGCTGTAAAAGGGTACACAAAAAAAGACATTGGCAGCCCCCCACTTAAATGTTTACGGTTGAGAGTGTGCAAATACATGAAGACCCAAGATTCCAAGACGACCATTCTTCACAGAAACTTTTTTAAAGTCCAGCCACCAGTATACCACGAACACAAATTTACTCACTCTACTTATGCACTTTACATACAATGGCACCATTTTTTTAGGGGCGGGGGGGGCGATAAAATTATCCTTTATTACTTTTGGGTGGTGCAGAGGGGGGCGAGGTTAGTGCCGATTGTTGTGGCAGTGGGGCAAAGACAAAGATCCCCCGTATAGCCTCAACAGACTGTAGGGGCAAGTGCTGTTAGCGAGCACCTATGAAGGCCGGCACGGCACACGAGGGGGTGGGTGGCCAACACCACGCCCGGCCGCCTTTGTCTCCCTAGCGGCGATGTTTACACATCGCACTAGGTACTCAGTTTAGGCTGAGTCGACCTAGGGGAGGCCCGGGACCGGTTCAGATAATCGTCACTGGTGTTGGCCGTGAGCGGGAATCGAACTCGGGTCGCCGGGTTCATAGCGCAGCGTAGCGCTAACCGCTACGCTACCGCCACCACCACCAACGTACGAAGCGAGCCTCTCCGGTTCGTGCCGAGCCATGCCCCGGTGCAGCTCAGAAGGCATCACGCAGTTTTTTCTTTTACTCACCGCAGCAGCCGAACCGTGCGGCTGCACGTCGCCACGCGGTCAGGGCGTACGCAGAGCGGTCGGTGACACTGGCC